GCCTAGCTATTATGTACAGGTATAGGCTTAATTCAGCCATTTTTTGCATTTTAATTCTTCATGAGGGGAATGGGCTTGGTATGATGTAACATTGTACAAAAAATCGTCATGAAAAATCACTATAATACTAAAAACCACAAGAAAATCACTGTACTAAAAGTACTAAAAATCATTGTACATACTTTGCATGGTACTTTGAATAACGCGATCGTAAGTTAAGCGTTGCATCAGTTCATTCGTTTCGATGGTAAGCCGACTGTAGTATCCAGGTTGACCCCAGAAGCCTAAGTGACGAAGGCCCGACAAAATACAGAAAGAGAGAACATTATGAGAAAAGAAGGCAAGAGCGAGATAAGACGTTTTGGTCCAAACTGAAATGAATTACGTGAAAATTGAATTTTATAATAGCTGGATTTTGCTAGTTTATTGTGGTTTGGAGTTTTTAAAGTTGATTTTTTTACAGCGATTTTGATTTAATATTATAATTAGAGATACGGAGGTACAAAAAATCGTCAAAAAAATCACTATAATACTAGAAATCATAACAAAATCACTAAAATAAAAATACTAGAAATCATCATACATACTTTGCTTGATATTTTGAATAACGTGATTTCATCGTAGTGGTTCTGTTTGGCATTATTCCTTTAGCTGGGAACTTTTCGGCTTGCCAACGTATATTTTTTGCATGTTTTTGCTCATTCAGTTCCTTCAAAAGCTAAACTTAGCAAAAAAAGTGGTAATTTTAGCCACTGAAGAAGGCCTTTCAACGGCTGAATATCTCGCATCCGATGTTGGAACCGGATCAAATGCAGCAATATTCATACAATATACTCTCCTATATTGCCAAAGTAAAACATATGGCTCGTGAGGAATTCGATTCACTCTGTTGCACTGTTGCAGCAGCATTGCAACACTCAACAGCACCAATTTTTCCATTGGTTTGTTTTTCCTTAAGAAAAGAATTTTCTGATCCATAAGAATTTTGTTTTTTTTTCTCAAAAATTATTTTTTTTCTTGTTTTTCACTTTTAAATTAATATTTTTTGTTTTTTTTTATATTTCTTCCATCTTTTTGTACTTTCTTTTCAAGTGGGATTTTCTTTTCAAAAAAATTTTTTTTAGTATTTTTTTTTTTCAATTCTTAATGTTGTAGTAGCGTTTCCAACGCAATTCAGTCTTGGAGCTCGAGTGTTTAGGAAATCCTAGCTTGCAGCTACCTGAAATTTCTTCTGCGAATGAACATGAATCCGGGGAAAAAACCGATTTTCCTTTTTATTATCTACGAATTTTTTGAAGTATAATGTATTTCCCATTATCACTTACTCTTTCTGTGCTCATATTATCCCTAGTCTTGTGCTCCACAATTCATCCGGAACACTTATATACCATTTTTGATACCGTTCGAAGCA